TCAAGTAAAAAAGTTACATGTCTTTGCATCAATTACAACACTAATTTTTATAGATGTTATATATTAAAAAAAAATGAAATAGGGCTTACTATCTAATTAGGACACACACAAAACCTCTCATTATTGTAATCAATCTAAAAGGTGAATCTTAGATTTTTTTTTTTTTTTTCTAAGCAAGGGAAGAATCGATGATGTGAAAACTAAATTAGGTTTAGCTATTTTCTTATAAGCTGAGAGTTAGTGGAACGTGTTAAAAGATTAAAAGAATTGGGGGCGGAGAAACAGAATAAAGTACTACCATTAATTAATTAACTGGAGTTAAAAATTTAACGAATATCTTAATGTAACATGTTTTTAAAAAGTTTGGGATGTAAATGGCATGTTCTTAAATTTTGAGATGTTTTGGATAGTGTGGCCCAAACTTTGGGATGAAAGGACCTATTTTTTCCTTTTAGAAATAACAGTGTCTAGTTTTTCTGTATATCACTCACAGATTTGGATTCTCCATATACCCACTAAACGCGGCAGTTCAGATCTGTGATCCGAAAGAAGCGAATTACGATGACAGGAAATTAGTCTGTATCATTCCTTACTTGAATTACTAGAAAAATTCAGATGTCTCTGAACTAACATTAGACATAATTTAGTAATAATTCGATTAGTTTTTTTTTGAAAGTATCAATATATTTACTGAAATTTAAACTTCTGTATGATGACGGACTCTAAGTTGTATGGGGTAAGTCTTAAGCACTGACCTGAAAATTTTTTCTGCTATTTATAAAATTCTCAGGTTCTTACCTGATTTATTAAAAAAAAAAAAGAATTGCCGGTACAAAATCATTGTTTTAAAATGTCGGCTTAAGGTTTGTCAAATACTTAAACCTTAACCGATCTCCGAATAGACAATTCAGTTACAATTTAATAAATCGTCATTCACGGTTCAATTCTGTTTATGAACTGACATGCTGATTCTGATTAAAACCTAACCGTGAACATGCTTACTTTGGAGGATCAACCGGCCCTCTGGATTCCCATAGTTTCACATGCGTATTTGTAACACAGAAAAATTACACAGCCAAAAATTGGTTAACGGCCCGATAAAAGGACATTTTTTAAGGACTCCCGACTTGACATTTTTATCGATTACTGTAAATTGAATTTAATCAGTTGGAAACAAATTCTCTAATGGCAGAGAATAAATTTTTGTGTTCTTGACCAAGTGCACTAGACCGATTCCATGAGTTGAAATGATTAAAAGTTCAATTCTATTGTATTTTTTTTAATATTCAATTATAAGTATTTAGTCTATTATATATGGGTGAAATCTATGAGGAAGGGATAATACTATTAGGGGGAGACTCAACACACGCACGGCTCGATCTGATTCTCGGAAAGCCTTCCTGACAGGTGCGAGATAACATGCACAATTCAACACACAAAGTCCTGTTAGTGAGGTTTAAACATGAGACCTCCAGGTTGATGTCATGCCCATTTACGTAGTACATGACCTCCAACTTCCAAGTAAAAGTCCAAATACTGACACAAAAAAAAATTGGTAAAAGAGGAAAATCTTAACAGGACTAGTAAGACTTTTATTTTATGTTTAGCATTGTATTGTTGCTTAGCATTGTTACTAAATTATGGACAGTTTGTAAACGCAATCATTAATTCTTCTGGGTTGAAAAAAGAAAAAGAAAAAAAAGAAAAGAAAAGAGAGGAGGGAAACATCGTACTCTTTTCGTCCTATAATTATTGTGAAAACTCAAACTGGACAATAATTATGAAACGGAATTGTACTAAAAGTAAAAACTTAAACTGGACAATAATTATGGGACGGAGGGAGTATGTTAAGGTACAATTAATTGAACTTGAGTTCTTATAAATCGGCAGCTAAAGTAAAAAGATGAAGATCATTGTGCCTCCATTTTCTGGCTCAATAACTGGAGGGAAAATAAGAACACAAACTAAAAAGATTCCTAAGAGGACTGATTACACGTAAACGGCAATCGCTTCTCTCCACTTTTGGAAAGTTTTTCTTATTAAATAGCTTCAAAACTGGAAGCGGCTGAATTATTCTCATCATATGGGGGATGTCGTGAAAGAACAAAACATGAGGAAGATGAAGAAGTCCCCAAATTATTTGTGCTTAAAAAAAATTAAAAAAAAAAAAAGAATTGCCCAAAAGAAGTCTTTCGTGTCGCTATAATTCTTGGTGCCTTTTGGACCAAAGTAGCAAACCTGCTCCTCTGATATTTACTTGACTAAATGGACCATGACTTCTGCGCTTCAAAGATGCCAATTCCTTGCTTTTTATGATTTTATCCTACCCAAAACACCAAAAAAAATAAAATAGAAAAAGATTACTCCAAAGGTCAACAATATCATGCTGCAAAATGTTACTCTATTTCACTTCTTGCACTTCATCATCCATCCGTAACATTCAAAAACAGCATGATTTTTGGCTTGAATTCCTTTTCCTCTTTTGAACTAGGGGCGGTGTGGACACTATATTTTCGTAACTTGTGAGATTCAAACTCTTAAACTCTAAAAATTTTTTAAAAAATAGTGCGCTGTACTATTTTCAGTACAAATTTGAAAGTTTAATGTGAACTATTTTTTTGAAACGGAGATAGTATTATTTATATTATGCTAAGTTCAGAAATATGCACGTTCATCGGCCCTACTCTAGCTAATAACTTTCTAGAGAAGGATATAGTTTCGCTTGGAGAATTTGAAGAGGGAAATACGAACAAAAAAAAAAAAGAAACATGGTTGTGTTAATATGCACTCAAAATAAGATGGAGAAGACAAATAAATCAACCATCGATTCCATCGCAAGTGGAGTTCGATATTTTTGTTACCTGATTTGGTTTTTTTCTTTAAATCTTTGGAATAATCATACAATAACTTTCGAGCAGTATATATACTAGGGTTTATGTGTTCATTCAAATTTTTGAGTTGCAAATTATTAGGTGCTATCTCCATCAGTACTTGTCATCTTTGATGAGATTGAAAGGATTTGAAAGCACTATACAAGTCAATTGATTCTAGATTGAACCAAGTAAACGATATGATTGTTCCTTTACTGTATTATGTGTCTGTGTACAGGGAATTCCTCCATGATTTCCCAGAAAACCAAGGGAAAAAACCTCAACAAAAAAAAAAAAACCCCACCAATAACATCGTCCGATTATGTTAATTAGTATTTTACATCGTGTGATGATATGATCATGAGCTCAAATTGACAATATGCTGGCCAAATTGATTAATTATTACTGACTATCAATTAATTAAATTGAATTGATACAAAAGGTTAGGTCCATGATTTGAATTGAATATATTACAAGTATCATCAATCGTTTCACCCTAATAGGCAACCAAAGCTAAAGTTGCCTCGTCAATGGGCGAAGTTATTGACCTTTTGCAAACTGGTGGGTTTGATTCCTTACTTGTAGCTCTAATGCTCCGTCATTTTCACTCCTTAGCCAATCGATATGCGTGTTCTTTACTTACTTTGCTTCTTCACACTACATTCTTAGGCAATATGAAAAAGGCATTACTCTTTCCGGCATAGTAATTTTCATAGTCTAATTTATCGTCTTATATTTTAATAAATAAAGTGGATCAATAAAAATTTGTGACGAACTAGTACATCATGAATACCAATGTTGTTGAGGTTTTGATGTTACTCTTCTCTAACTAATATTCCTAATCAATGCTGCAAAAACTTCTTTTTCTTTCTTTTTTTTTTTTTTGGCCCGGACTCGAACAGGAGAAAATGAATAGTGAGTGCTCTTTTTTTCGGTCTTTAATTTGTATCAGAAAACGAACATCGTAAAACATTTAAACTTGAAAAACATATACAACGTTACGCCATGTTCATGCTTGGAGTGAATGACAAAGTGCATACAGAGCCGCATTTTTATTCACTCGTATTACTCCCTCTGTCCAAAAATTATTGTCCAGTTTGAGATTTTACTTTTAGTATAATTTGAACTAAAATGAAAATCCAAACTGGACAATAATTATGGGACGGAGGGAGTATATATTACGACCGACGGGAATGAAGTATATCACCAGTTATTGTATCCAAAAAATATATAGTTCCATTATAAGTACAAACAAATTCGATCAACATAATTATTTTTGACGAGATGGAGAGAAGAGTAATAAAATCCTTACTATAATAATATTGTTTCTGTTCGAACAAAAAAAAAAAGTCCAAATTGAATTTTAGGAGTTGTAATAGTCCACATCTGATACAAATCTTAAAACTAAATGTTAAACTAATTTTTTGGTGACAAGGGAAGTAGTGATTAAATTTGCTAAGTAGAGATCAAAGTCGTCCTATGAAAATCTTTGTAAGAATTATTTTGACTTAGGAGTTTGGAGATTTTATGGTTGATAATTTATACGTGCCTTAACTCACTTAGCTAAGAATATAAATATTGTTGTAACCAGTGGAATTCTCTAGCTAACTTAAATTTCAACTACTGATCAGTTGGTGGTAAACATATTTACTTATCTCTCTCCTAATTAAATGAAATAAAAGAAAGGAAAACTTGCTGCTAATTTTTCAAACAAAATACTAAAATAGCACTCCTTTTTTACCGAAATAACTACAGTGCACAAAATATACAAAACAATCATTTTGAGAAAGAGAAATTATCATCATCAATTGAAAAGAGGAACTCAAATGGCTATAAAATTTCAGAAGAATAGAGAATATGCACCAAATTTCGGCGAAATGTCTTATAGTACCAGAAGATGCTGCGTATCTCAATCCAATAATGCACATGTTGCGTGTTTTCTTGCAGCAACGTTGTGTTATAGTACAAGATTTCATTCTATTTCATCGAAAAAGAAAAAGAACAAATACTTCTCCTTTCGGCACATTTAAATAATCAACGACACAATAACGGTGAACTATTAATCTAGATAGAAAAAGTAATAATAACACTATATATTTAATTAAATTAGAATGGTGGTGATTATGTGTACTCGATTATATGATTCTGAGAGATCATATCATCAAACTTCGAAGTAGCCCTCATTCTTTCATTTTTATATGTATGTGATCTCTGCTCATCCCATGAGATGTTCGAGTAACAAATACAGGGATTTTTATTAAGATGTAATTAGGATAATTTACTCTTATCTCGCTTATTATGTATCAATTATACCAAATCATAAAATAAATAACACCGTTGATGACTGGTGAAACACAATGTCATAGAAAATCTAGGACAAGAAGAGATCTTATGCATACATGAAAATTGAAATGAGCTACTCTTGAAGGCCAATCTAGCTAACTTGTAATCCTCAAAACACATCATCCCCATGACCTTCGTCACTGATATTCCTTATACAATATAGACATGGCATTTATAGCTCAAGAATTTCAATTTACATAGTCACAAAATTATGATAAAATACAAACTCTTACAGTATACTCTTTCCCTCTCTTCCAAAATGTATAAAGATGACATTTAAATATTTTAGGAGGGGGTTAAGTACAAATCACTGTGAGAAATTGCTATTCCTAGCCAAATCAACGCATTAATTTCGCAAAAGGCTGAAGAACAAGTACTAGAATCCATGTGCTAATAACCAACCAAATGCCACTTGCATTATTAGACAACAGAAGAATGAAAACATACTACATTGTTATCTACATAACTATAATAATTATAAACTTATAATAGCCGTTTTATTGATTATATCATAATAATTAAGACCAATGGACTACACTACCTAATAATCTAATCTGTACAAAATTCAATCAAGAATCCATGATTAAATATGTAATTAAACAATCATCTCTGCAGCTTAGGAATCACGAAAACACTCGCTCGTACGTCATCGGAATTCAAGAAAATCATAAATTATGAATCATTGAACACATCAAATTCTAATTAGGTAGAATCTTATCTCTCTCTTCATGTTGGCTGGCTGACTGGCTGGATGGCTTTTCCTAAATTTCCCCCGTTCTCCATCTTATACGCATAAAAGGAATCCACGAAGATCCCTTCATTTCCAAACTATATATGTTGCATTTTATAGAGAAAGTCAATTTCTTGTGGTTTTCAGGGTTCGGGTTTTGGCATGAACAAAGAAGAAGAATTCATTTGATCAGGTGGGAAGAAGTTATAGTTATCTTGAGGAAGCTGGAATTGTTGTTGCTGATGAGACATGAAGTTTGGATAATAGGGATTATTGTAAGGATAAATATTAGTATCATTTCTGGTGGCTGATGATGATGTGGCCGGCGGCGCCGGGAGCATTTGATTCATCATCAGAAAGTCTGAAGTAGGGAAGAGAAGTGGTGGTGATGATGATGAGTTTGATGATGAAGAAAAGAAGGAAGAAGACAAGAGCGCAGCCGCATTTCCTCTAAGTGTTGCGGGACAGTGATGGTTGTGTTGGCCTTCATAAGTCGTGATCACGATTGATGGATCTTGATATGATCTCTCCACACGTTTCTTCACGCTGCATTTCTGACTCGTGCATCTGTAGTAACTCCTACACACACACAATTCATCATCGTCATTCTCAGTTGAATGAACGAATTAGGAATCGCTAAAAAAAAAGTAATCTACTTGGTTGAACTGAAAAAATCATATATGGTCCCGGGTGAGGACTATAATTATGAGGTCAGGATTCAAATCTAGTTGGCAAACAGTAAATAAGAAATTCATACAGTCCTCGAATTGGTGAAATCCTTTCAAGCAATTATACAATGAATCTGCAACTAAAAGACGACTTGTACGTACCTCATTCGTGTACACAGTTAGGTCATGGTTTTAGGCCATTCTCCACAATTTATATCAGGAAAGTTAGATACTTTTTTTACAGTACAACAAAGTACTTAAAGAAAACAAGCCACATGTAAGCAAAACCATAACCGAATCATTTCAGATTTTTTCGTTTATTATTCCAGAATATAACTAGCCCTAGTAGTATAATCATGCATTTATTTGTGCTTTCTTTTTTACCCTTCTTTTGGGGGGTGAAAACTAGAGAAATTAATGGACAAAAAAAGTATATATACAAACCGTGGGAAAGGGCTGTTCTTGACTGCTTTCTGTCCATATTTTCTCCATCTATATCCATCTTCAAGATGATCAATTTCACTCTTTGTCATGAAGGCAAATCTTGGTTCTCTTGGCTTTTTCTCCCCTTTCTTCTTCTGTTTGTTCCTGCAGATCAAGCATCAATAAGCAATGTTCATTAAGTGCAACATGGACAAAAATTTTTATTAAAGAAACCTGCGATATGTGTACGATTAGGGTTTCCCATGATTCACAAATTAAGGTAGAAGATACCTGGTAAAGGGGAAAAAGGATAATCATTTTGAACAAAGAAAAAACAAAAAAAAGGCTGTGAAAAATATGAAACAGTGAAAGATTCCAGCTTTTACTGCTTTTATTGCTGAAAAGATGGTCTAGATGCCATAACTATATCTATCTAGCTCATGAGTTGAGAAGACTTGCAAAGGACACCAAAAAAGTCTAGCTAGCTTGATGAGAAAAACTAACTAAAATAAAATATTCCCCATTTGACACATTATTATTATAACCAACGAATAAAAACAAAGTTTCCATGAATCAAGGCATCTATTAAAAAATCTTATAGTATAAACAAAATTTTCAAAACAAATAATTTTTAAAAAAACAAAAAATAAAAAAAAAAACAAAAAAAAAAACCCACAATTTCTTTGACTTGTCATCCCCATCTTCATGACTCCCTTTTGTCCTCATCTCCATGTTGCTTTTTGAAGACTCTTCTTCTTCTCCACCACCATCACCACCACCTCCTCCACCTCCTCCGTCCTCATTTGATGAACATGACAATGATGAGTTGGGATTTTCAACACTTGTATTAGTAGTGTTAGTAGTTGCCCCCATGTTTTGATTCTCCGATGATGAATTATCCACATGATGATGATGATGAGTAGGAGGAGCAAATTGGGGTGAAGAGTTCCGGTAATTGTCAAAAGCGCCGGATAAATAGTTGTAATCTGATGCTGATCCTTGTAAACAATCAGTGAAGCTCATGTAAGAAAAATGATTATAAGATGATGATGATGATGATTGGCTGTACATACTCATGGGATTAGTAAAACCACTACTTCCACCACCACCCATGTAATCATGGTAAAAAGGGTTGTTTTGATGATCATTGGACATGGATGATGTCTTTAATTAGAAACTGCAAAAAAAAAAAAAAGTGCAAATAAAAGCTTAAAAAGGATATTGGAGAACTAGCTAGAGAGAAGAAGGGGGTGAAAGAAGATGTGTTAAGGAAAGTGAAGAAAGAATGGTGAAAGAAATGTTAGCATAGGCCTAGATTTGCTTTTTGTTTTTTTGATCCAATATGAAAGAGTTTTTTTTTGTTAGGGGAAGACCAACTATTTTGGCTTCCTAGGAAGATAAAAAAAAATAAAACATAAAAAAATAAGAAAAATCCGTGGAATATGGAGATTGATAATAATGCTTATGAAGGAAAGAAAGAAGGGCTAGGTGGACCACAGCTAATTGGCTCATGTAGATTGTTAGGATTACTTGTTGCTAGAGGAGTATGGTCCTACGTAGGTGTATTTATGGTCATTGTTACAGCTTACACACTTAAGGAGATGGATTAATTGGTCATGCAACATAAACATTTTTTAGTTAAAGCCTAAAGGGCACATGATTTGTTTGGAAAATAATTATGTATATGTAGAACTACGGTACAAATTTGTGTATAGTTTAATTTCTTGAATGAGATTTGAGGGATTTGTTTTTAGCTTTTAGCTGATGCATTTGCCCATGAATTCAGTAACGTTTGTTTGTAGTCATGTTGTTATGATCTGGATCATGGAATGGGGGCAAATATTCCAGTCAACCTTTCTAATTCCATTAGTCTCCTCGTGGAAACATTAAAACATGGGATTCTATTACATAGGAGTAAATACCATGAAACTTTCACTTTGATGTGTACATCGGCGAATGAGTTCCATCCTCTTCCCGTCTTCCGTATACGATCCAGCACAAATGTAGAAATAATTGGGAGTCTTTCCCTGCAATAACTTTAAAATCTAGACCACGAGATTATTAATTTCATTACGCGTATATATAGATAAATAATACTGACTAAGTCGTATATAATTATGGTTTTGATTTTACTGACCAATTATGCAACTTCGAAATGTCTTCATATATGGTCAGTCGACACAAAACAAAAAAAAAAAAAAATACTAGCTAGATTGTTGGATCATTTTCAATTTGTAGTTGAGGTCACTCAATAGTGTATGATGAATTGATCCTCCATCTATCCACTCTATATATATGCATGCACCTCAAAAACATCTTTACATTTTAAATGAAGAACCCTACGGAACCCTAATTTTTTTTGGTTCCAATAATAAATGGGGTAATTTTGATTGATGACAAATAAATATACAATTGGGCAACTGGCCGAAGTCGCTACTAATTAATTTTATTTCACATACGCTTCTGAATTTATTTTTATATGTATAATATTAGCAATATTAATTCAAACCGTGATTATTGTAAAATCTCAAGGAACACCTGAATATCAATTATTGGTGTTTAAAATAATTAGTACAAGCTGATTGTGGTGGCAAGCTAACAAGCATATTAGCATTAGTTGTTTGTTGTTTATAATCACGATAACTTAAGACTGCCAAATAGATACTGTATTTGATAAGCTTTTGCATTTCGACAGATCCAAATTAAGTGGGAAAACTAATGTCCAAATTCAAACAAATTAAGCTACATATGTTATGTATGGATTTGGTGTCACTTTAGTTGTTGTACTATAAGATATAGCACGAGTTTTGTCTTTATTAATTTCTATACAAAACTAATTTGCAAAGTTTTCTGCTTTAGATGCTTTCACTGCTAGACTAAAAGTGATATTTTTTCACCCTGTTGACTCAAGAGAAGGACGGATTCCCCAGTCTCAGAACTTGTTTTGGATTCATTTGTCTCTGTCATAATTGTTGACTAAGTTTATTAAAATTAATTGTGCAACTACGATTAATACTACATATAAAGTTTGGTCAAATGAGTAAAAAAAAAATGTAAAAGTTGAGCATCTACCCAGATCAACCACTTGAAGTCTAAAAAATTCGAGTGGACTATTTTAACACTATAAAAAAACATCCTGCAACATCTATACTATACGTGCTTATATAACACTTTGAAATACTATACAGAGGATTGAAATCAAATTTTTTCAGTCGTCATTTAACTGTGAATAGAATTTTTTGAAATGACAAAATGTGAGGTAAAAAACTATATCAATAAGTCACAAACTTCTCACTAAAATTTTTGAGGTAAAAGAAGGAAAATGCCATTGAACTCAAATAAAGGCCTCAAAATAGAAAATAATTATAAAAAAAAAAAAGAAAAAGAATACGGAGATAATACAGCAGTTTGGGCTGGGCTTGGAGAACTGGGCCTAACATAAGAGGTAGTATTGACCGAAGCACCGGCATTTGACCGAAGCACGTGGGAGAATTTTCTGTTAGGTTGCCATTGGTAATTTGACGGCCCCTAATATCCTCCGGGCCAATCCCAATCCTCAATTACATCCCGAATTTGGTGCCGAATTTTGTTCACCCCTGCCCTCCGCCGTAATTGGTCAAACACTTCTCACTCATTACGATCCCCAAACACAATTTAATCCGGTATTGCTCATTCCCGCAATATACATTAATTTAGTCTCCTCTTTCTTTTCTTTTTTCTTTTCTTTTGAGACACTACTAGGGCGTGTGCAGTTATAATATAGAGCACCTAGTGTGTAACTCACACACCTAAATATCAAGAAAATTCACCTATTTATAAGAATGCCATTCAAGTAAAATATACGTGTCCATTTAATCTCACATTCTGCGCGACATTTGGAATTTTAATACCACCATTTTCTCCGAATTTTCGGTCATTATCATTATCCAACTTCCTATCTCATAAATTCCAATCCGCATCAAACCAGAAGGAAATTCAAAACCAAAAAATCATCCTTGCTGCGAGAATCCTCACACCGGAACGCCAAAATCGCCATCATCAAACCTTAGTTTTCATTATCACGTCGGCATCGATATCGGATTCGTTTTGTTCATCAAGAATCTGGATTTATTAATCCAGTAACTTCAATAGAACATGAAGATTGGGGTAATAAATCATCTTATTCACACTTTTTTCTGGTTTTATTTTTTTGAGTTTGTTCACGAAACGGGATTGTTCATTAGTTTTCACATATTGTGTAGAAGAATGGAACTATCAATCCTCATATGAAAAAAGCTCTGCAAAATCTCCGATGGGAACTAGGTAATCGATTCAATTCTTGTTTTCTGGTGGTGGGTTTTGCAGATCTAAGGTTTGATATTAATTATTCTATAGATGTTCATCGCAAAACTTGTTGTTCATCAACTATTCGTCATTTTTCATATATATTCATGTGTTTTGTACCGTTATTCATTTTATGACAACTCGCTATTCATCTGTTTGACGAGATTTTTGCAAGTTAGAGTAATGAACAATGATAATATGTGGTTATTCATCAACTATGTCATTATTGTTCATCTACTATTCATTGTTATTATTCAATTTTTGTTTTCTGATTGTGGGTTTTAAATGTCTAAGGTTTGACATTCATTATTATATGATTGTTTATCGAATATGCTTGTTGTTCAACAACTATTCGTCGTTGATATTGGGTTTTTTTTAGAAGGAAATCTGTTTTTTTTTCATACATATTCATGCGTTTTGTATTGTTATTTATTTAATTAAAACTCGTTATTCATCTGTTTGTCAAAAGGTTTATAATTTTGATGAATGAACAATGATAATATGTTGTTATTCATCAACTCTGATATTGTTGTTCATCAAATATTAATTCTTATCGAATTGTTAATGTCATTTCTGTCAATTGTTCATTATTAGTGTAATGATTATTCATTACTGCATCAGTATTGTATATGTGAAAGTTGAACATTCATATGATTGTTCAGCAGTTTTAGTGTTGTTGTCAATCAAATGGAGCTCGTTATTTATGGTTATTCCTCAAATAAATTATTGTTATTTTTTTTTTGAGAAATAAAATTTATTAATTTACTGGAAATCGTTCAACAGCGATTGATAACAAAAGATACAGCCAGAAAAATACAACTTACAATTGGCCATAATCATGGTGCCTTTGTTGTGTTTCTTATAGGTAAACCTATATAGATCTACCCTATCAAGCAGTGGTTGTATCACGTGCCGAAACAAAGATACAACACTAAAAATCAGTTGAAACTCTCAAATCATAGATCTAATAACTAAATCTATGATTACTGAATGTTTTAAAGCCATACAAGCGAACTCCAACGAACCCGCCGCCGTACCTACAAACATCACCGACAAAAATGTCGTCATACCTACGAACATCACCAGGGAAGTCGCCGCCATACCAGCGAACATCCATAAAGAAGTCGCCGCCATATCTAACTAGTAGAGGTCACTTATTGAAAAGAAATTAAACAACAATAAAAAAGTGAAAGGATCGGGACAAAATTATCTCCCTCATCCTTCCATGGTGGAAAGATGGGAGAAAAAGTGGAGTTTTTTTTGTTTTAGGGTTTTAGGGTTTGAGAGGGAGAAAGGGGCAATAAATTGTTGTTATTCATTAAATGATAATGTGTTACTCATTAGTTTACTAAAATTGTAATTACTTGGCATAATGCAGCAGTAAGGATAGAGGGAAGCAACCGAACATTGCAGGAAGTAGAGTTAGTGGATCTTAAAAAACACCATCACATATTAGTGTTGAAGTGGAGATAAGTAACCTGTAAAGAAAAAAAAAAGGAGGAATACATGACACAAACATTAGAAAAAGGTAATATTACTATTTTTGAAATGATTATTCATCTTCAATAGTATATTTATTGATGATTACCAGAATTTTGATTGAATGTGAAATCTATTTTATTGTAATGTTCTTTTTGTTTGATCGGTGGCAAAAAAATGCTCATTAAGATGAGCTTGATCGAATGGTAATCAAATATTTGACAGAGTTGCTGAAGTCAAACAATCAACATATAGGTGTTGAAGGCAAATCATTCAAGACCGTATATGCTAAAAACAATGACTAGTGTTATTAATACTGTAAAATAGTGTTATTCATATTATAAAAAAATGTCATTCATCATTTGAACATGTGTTATTCATTCGATAGATATGTGTATTTATCATGCAAATATATATCTATTTTTTATTTTATTATTGTTATTCATCTTGGATGGGATCATTATTCATCAACATTTGCTTCGTTATTCATCTTTGTAGATATCTATATTCATTTCAAAATTTTAAATTTATTTATCCATAAATTTGTCACTATAAGAACACCATTATTCATTCACAGTATTATTATTGTTCATCGAT